GGGAGGGAGGGAGGGAGGGAGACAAATTTACCAATCCATTAGTCTAGCAGATAAAATGCTTTGTTCTGTATCTGACGGCACAGAAGAAACCACAACTCTAACATTACACTTGCTGTTTACAAACCTGGCATAGATTAACATATGAAATATTAAATAGAATAATATAGAATAATATGCTTCACTGATATCATAGAAATTCAGTTGATTCTCTCCCCTCTGTTATTTCTTATATTTCAATGTCTGAATCATTTGCAAACATTTCTTCACTAATCCTTTAGGCATGTTTCTGGCTGTCACTATGATCCTGACCTACTTCACAATGAGGAAGTAAAAACTCTAGAGGCAGCCCAGGGATTAAAGGTAAAGCTACTCCTCTTGCACCTTAATCCAGTGTTCTTTCCAAAACCTATTTGACAACCACTTCCTCTAAGCACCCCATTAAGACACAGAGAACCAAAAGAACATTTATGTAACCCCCACCCCCCATTTATGAAGTGGGTAGCACTCTTCATAAATATGATTGGATGCATTGTGTTTGTTTTGTTGATAAGTGTAAATATGTATATATACATATATAATGCATACAGGATATAAGTGCATGTGTTTACACATTATACATACACTGTCAATACAAATAAAGTGTGTTGAATCTTATCTACATGAAGTGCTTCCTACTTAATATATAAAGAATATTACATGTGCATTTATGCACACATAATAGATACAATATGTGTATGTATGTTTATATACAGTAAACAGTAAAAATTTGATCCAGAGTCCACAAAAGATATGAAGGGGGTCAGTGTCCAGCAATGTTCAAGTCAAGTGCATGTAAAACCTTGTCTTGGATGACAGGTGTAGTTTAAATTCTCCTGATTCAACTGTAGTTGATCCATCCTCCCTACATTATCTTGCCTCCTCTCAAGTCGGTCTTTGGACACACCGTGCATCCACTCCTCTGTTGAGGAACCTTCAGCTATCTGATGATCTCCAGTATTCACGCAGTGTGGTGATCACTCACTCACGGAGACAAAAAAACTAGCCCTGGGAGGCAGAAAGAGCCCTGTAAATGCCAAGGTTAAATGCAGGAGCCACAGCTAACTGCTCAACAACTAGGAATAAAGTACCACATTGATTCTAAGCTTCAGTTTATTTACTTGAGTATTAAAACGCATGAATGAACAAAATGAGTGAGCAATTGACAGTACACTTCGAATTTGAAAGACAGAAAATGCCCCAGATAGACATCATCATATAAAATAATCCAAAGCAAAATATTTGAGATCCATTTCTACATGAAGACATGGAACACTCCAAAGGATATTCATATACATATATATGCATGTATATGTATATATGTATATTCAGTAATATATATTTCATATATTAGATAATTAGATAAGTAACAAACTTACTGTACATTTTCTCATTTGTGTAATTGTGTGTGTGTATACACATACACACACACACACACACATATATATACATATATATATTATATAAATGTTGGTTATACACAGACAGTCAATTCCCACCAGTGGTTTTATCTGAAGATTGAATTGAGACTGGGAAGACGATGGACAGACAGGGACTGGGACTATTGTTTCTGTTTACTTTTTTTGTGGTTTGAAATTTTTGAACAAAAATATTTTCATGTGTGACTTGTATTGTTTTTCAAGATTTATTTTATTTGTAATTAGTGTGTATCTGTGTCCATATGTGTGTATACTCATGTCTGTTCATGTGCTGAGGCCAGAGGCTTCCAAATTGTAAAATACCTAATGTGGGTACTGGAAGCAAAACTGGGGTCCTCTTCAACAGTAGTATAATCTCTTAACCAAAGAGCCATCTCTCCAGTCCCTTGCATTATGTTAATCAAGAATTAACATGAAGATGTGTCATTCATCATATAAATGAATATATATACTTGCTTGCTTGCTTGCTTCTCATGAAGAGGTGAGAAAAGAAATTTATGTCACACACAAAATCCAGCCCCAACTGGACACTGTTTTCTTCCTTCCTGATCTCCTCATCACATGACTAACCAACCACACTATGTGATGGAATGAGAAAGAGGTTTCTTCTTCTTCTTCTTCTCCTCCTCCTCCTCCTTTGGTCTTATTTTGGTTTTAACCAATTTTATATAACAGTGGTTATTGTGGCATACTGGAGAAGGCTATGATTAGTGAGTTATGTACTAACTGGAATGCACTTTATCAAAACACACAATTGTAGATAAACAAAATGTCAAGCCAAGCCTGTGGACAGGCAATAATCCCACAGTACTCCCCCTGTGAATAAATATCTGGTGCCAGAGATACCCAGAATGATAGCAAAAAAAAAAAGATGCTTGCCCATAAGGAATAAAGATCTAAATAATGAAATGATGTGTGCTGCTGGTAACCTTATGACTGGTGTTTCTAAAACGGTCACCAAGAAATGCCGAGATGGAGAACAAGCTGGCACAGGTTTCAGTAGCACCAGCCCCCTCCTATTGCTTCTCCACACTGTTGTGTGGTATGACCACAGTCTATGCCTCTTCAAAACCCTTGAAAGCATTCTCACTACTTTTTTGATAGAACTCTTAAAGAAAGATTGTGATAAGGAGAAATAGCATCAGTTTCTAACCAGCTTGACAGAAATATTAACCTTTCTTAGATCTCAGTAAGGGTGAATGGAGTCATCAGCGACACAATGTCACAATGTCCACATCGTGGACACAATGAGCTAGATTTGGGGGTCAACTTAGATGCCCATACGTGAAAGAGAAAGGTTTGTCTCTGATTGCCTCCTGACCTCTCATTTTGCCTCTCATTTTCCACGCCCAAGCTATAGGAAACACTCCTCTTTCCCAAGGTAAGTCATGGAAGCCAAACTCTTTCCAAAAAAACCAGCCATAAAACTTAAAAATAGTATTCAACCTTTATCCCACATGTCTAAGTTTTGATTAGAGGGAAATGTCTGATCTTATCTTCTTTGAAAGAAGGTCAGAAGACCCCCATCTCAGAAAGGTTCCAATCCTAGGGAAGGAATGGAGCATAGAGAGTCCAAAAAGACTCAAAATAGACAGGCACTGCTGGGCCTTCCCTCCTCCGTCTATCGATCCGAAATCTTATTCTTTTGTGTAATCACATTTGCACATGGCTGCCTATTCTTCATCAAATTTGTGAAAATGGAGAGTTTACATTCATTCCCTGGATCCCTGATCTCAGAACAATCATGTCACACAAAACTGGATCAAATAAACGTATAGACCTTTTCTTCTAATTGCCTCTTGTTA